AAGGCAGAAAATATCAAAACAGAAGTGATATCAATGATGCATGACAGGAGGAATGAAGTTTGCAACACTATTTCAGTCTTCCAAAGACAAATTACAACACCTTGGTTTGCTTCCACCACTATGGGAACCTGGGAAAGAAAAACAGGAAATAATACAGCACTACAAGGCCTAAAGTTCAATCTCCGGACATCGCTGGAACATGTTTTCACCCTCACGATCTCTACCCTTCCTTTCACCTCCGCTTCCAAAAGAGAGGCCGTTAGATGGATTGAGTGTTGCAAGGTTTCCAAAAGCGAGCAACGTCTGACTGCTGCTCTACCTTAGGAGCAAAAACAAAAGAGCCATCTCTACCTGTAGGACTGTGGGAGTCGAGGCTTTGATCTGGACCAGAAAGAGAGAGTAGTTTGATGAAATATTGATGCTTTTTTTTTTTAACTGTGTCCTGTGGGAGCTCAGTCTGCTCTCAGGATGTGTGCGCTGATGCACAATACTGCTCTGTACTTTGCTAGATGAGAATGGACTTGTCTATGCGGCTCAAGGAGTCTTATCGGTCCTAATGGGGCTAATGATGACCCCCCAGTCGGGGCCTGTATCAGTCAGGGACTTTTTTTCGGTTGATCAAAAGAAAAGGTACTTTTAATCAGTCAACATCTATTGCAGAATACACACACCATGATGTGAGTTTGACAGCAAAGCCTGCACATGACTTAAATCTTTATTTGGTGTTGGATGGGTAATTGTTTGTCCTTGAAACAAAGGTTTGCGGCTTTCAGTGGTCTATACTTTAACAGGTGATACAGTATATAAATGTAGAGTGCCTCCCTCACAATGTAAAAGAAATAATTTATCTTTGAGAATATATAAAAAAAGTAAATGTCCAGATTGTATTAGTTTAACAGACAAATAAACAAACACTGGAAAATGCCCTTTAAAGCGCCTTTTTTGGCCCAGCATTGGAATATAAAGGCCTTGTTAAACCCAGTATCACACCATGTAACATGATTTCAACTTGCAGCTCAGAAACTTTGATTTGAGTTTGCATAAGTGACCCACATTCTTCAAGCAACAATGATCTCCATGCAAGAAAAAAAAAAATCTGAATATTGATAATTGCCCAGAGTGCTTTTGTCTGAAAGTTAAGAGGCCAACACACTCCAATCAGACCGGAAAAAGAGAGTGAAAACACGAGGGGGGGGGGGGGGGGGGGGGGATTTATCACTCTCAAATGCTCACGTTCATACACAGAGATAGACGGCCGGCATAATGACTTCTGTGGAAAAAAGCATAGCGATTATTTAAACTTAAAGGAAGAGGAGAAAAGGCAGTGAAACGGGTCGATGGGGGGAGGAAAGAGGGGTCTTAGGAGGAGCCAGGGGCAGCAGATAGTCTGGGAAAGGTCTCGCGTTAAAGTGGAATTAACATGCCTTTCCATTGGAGTCCATTAGATAATCATATTCATACCACACAAGGCACCAAACCCCTCTCTGTTTCATTATTCCCTTTTAATTCAGCCTGATAAGGGGGTGCAGGCGTCGTGGTTTTATGATGTCGTCATTTGGAATCCACATGAAATCCCCACGGGATGTTATCACGGGAAATTGCTTAAATAGCCCAAGTGGATATAGTTTGGCGTTTATTATTTCTGACGGATTCAAAATAACTGCAAATATCCTTTTCTGGTTATTGGGGGCTGAGAGTCTTATCAGTCATTCACACTAATGGGCCCACTCAAGCCACCCGATACCTCCGGCGGGGGGGGGGGGGGGGGGGGGGGGGGGAGGAGAGAGAAGGGATGATGGGAGGAGAAGAGGGGAGGGCTGTGTTTAGTCTCCTGAATGTACAAGTGTGTGCAGGTACAGTACATACAGGACAGGAAGAGAAGCATGAAAGAGGTAGAAGGAGATGTTTTCCGCTTTATGTACACAGTTTAGGAATGGATAACAGCGGAGCAGAGGTCACTGAAGCTTTCCTTTGTGCTTTGTTTGTTTGCTCCTTAAACTCTGCTCCATGGCAAACAGACCCCGTGTCAGGTGGCTGTAGACATTTATTGGATGGCACACGCTCCCTTTTAGTCTTGAGATTAAGAGCAAGCAAACACTTTGAGTAATCCTATAAGGCCTTTATTAGATAGAGATAAAGAAGGTAATACAACTTGAGGACTAGTTACAGAGTATATTTTCAGTTATAAGGTGGCCTATCAATTTAGTTATTTCAAAATGTTTGTTTCTTTGTGATTTGAGAAATTCTCCTAATCAGTATATTAAAACATTTACATTTTGGAATAAAAAAATCTTACACCATGTAGCAATCCAATAAGTATACACACTCACAGTGGCAATATGAACACCTCTCCATCTGAAACACCTGCTAATTCCTTTTTTTTGCAATTTGAATGCAAGACTGTTTCTTCCAATGGAGTATTTCCTGTGGTGCAGCCATGTTTAAAGAGGTAAAGTGCCTCAAAACCACCTGAAGACACTTCAAATATCCCCCTTTCCTAAACTGCTGCCGTTCTGCTGTGACAGATACAGGAGCCTCTGTCGATCCTCTGTTCCTGCAGCCAGTGCATTTCCAGCAGTCACATCTGTGTGGATATAATATGCTTATTCTGCCGTATCCGTTTCACAGTGACATCTGTCCAGCGGCTCAGAATTAAAGGAAAAATTCCAAATGCCTACACAAGATTCTGCCAAGTATTGATTTACTGTTACTCGTGTAACATACTTGGACAATATATATTATTTCAGTGAGATCATGGCTGAAACATACTCTGTCATTTAGACACATCTTCAGTGCACAGCATTTCTTTTTGGAATTGTGACAATATGTGAGTGTGTGCATGCTTGTGATTGGTTATCATGTGTGTGTGTATGAGAGTGTGTCTGTGTTTGTGAGTGCCTACCTTGGTGAGTACACCTCCCTGTCTGCAGATCTCAGGGTCTGGAACAAACAGTAGTTCCTTCTTAATTGGGGTGAGATCAGGGGCTTACAGGGGGCCAAGAAGGGACCCGAACCCCTTTTTTTTCTCCTCCAGAATCGCTTTGGCTACAGAGGTGCTTTTGATGTGTGCTTTGGCTCTGCAAGCCTTACTTTGGAATATGTTCTTGGGAGACCATTGGTTACTTGCCTCCAGGCAAAATCTCAATCCCCAGGATCCTGGCCCTCTTTGATGAAATACTTTCGGGAGCCGCTAACCCTACTGATACCCATGTGCACCCCCTCCCCCTTCCTTTACCCTCATGTTCTCCCCCACCTCCACGTTCCTCGGATTCTCTTTGAGAGATTCATAACAAGGACTTTATCTCTGTGTAGTCCAGGCCAGATGAGCACCGCCTGACAAACTGACAGGAGAATTAGCCGTGTCTTACAGAGCACCTTTGACTGTCTCCTCTCTTGGCCTGACTTCCTGTCACCACGGACACATGCATTTTTATTTTATTGACACTAATTGATATCACATATTCTCTCATTGTACATGTGTAACATTTCTGGGTGTGTTGTTTGTTTTTAAACGTATAACCTTGCTATTTAAAATGATCAAATAAAAATCATTTGTGCTTTTATTTTGACATATGGAAAGAGCACATCTATATTTGTTGATTTATTGATTAATAGTGGCAGTTTTTGAGTTATTTAAAATAGCAAACTCAAAGGCTTACATCCAAAATTAGAATCGAACATTGAAGTATTCATCAATATCAACATTCTGTCAGTTGTGACAGAGGGCTCTGATTGATGACGGCAGTAATTAGTCAATGCAGTTTTATTTGCATAATAGGCATCAGAATAGTAGTTGTAAAACATACTTGATAAAATAGAGAGTTCTTTAAGATTAAAGACAACTTAATTTGCAGTGGCAGCTAATTTTCTGTCATTATCAGGATAATTACACTGACTGTGTCTTGATGGGCTTGACCCCTCGGCCACACACACATTCAAATCCTGGTCAAACGATTAACCGGTGATTTTCCTCTCCAAACTCCCACCTCTTCATTGATTGAAACAGCACCCTAAAGACCTCTCTTACCACATCATTTCCCTGTATATTGATTATGTATATTGATTATAACCTAACCCTACAGGAGGGCTTTCCACAGCATTAGGTATCCCTCTGAAGGCTGAGCCCAGGAGCCTTTTTTAGTTCTCATAAGTTGACAGTTGTGAGCATGTAAGGTGGATACTTGAGAAAAAGGCCTGTGTAAAAAACCTGTATTGAAGCAGTAGAATAATCACTTTCACCTTACAGTTTAATTAACAATAATACATCTGGTTGTGATTCGAAACAAATCAAAATGATTATGCCTTTCATTATGATTCTCAACAGCAATTTTATTTTATTTTTTTCACAGTTGTCACGTCAAGCATGAATTATGTTTAATCAATGCAATTGAATAATGAATATTTTATTTGTGGATGTTTAAGATAACATTATGCTGATGTGATGTCATACGTCCATTAGGCTTAATTATAGGGGTGTATGTGAATGTACACAGGGCAACATCATTACTGCTGCTATTTAAACTTGGGTAAAATGACTTGCAACCCTAATTTCTGTTACAATACAGCTGCAGTGTAGTTTAAAAAGGTGACATAATAATCTTTAAAGCAGCGTCCTGGTATTCCCTTGATATTTTCAATTACGGGCTCATTCAAACACTTATAATGAAGTCACATGGACAGACAAAAAGAAAAAAAACATGAAAATAAAAGAACTTTCTAACTAGTGTAAGTGTATTGTGAAATTATTTCTCCTTTCTTAAATTGTATAAGTTATAGATTTGTGTTCCAATGGCCTATTAGAAAAAGGTATTTGGTAAACTCAGTATTGTGTTTGTGTGTTTTTTTCACAAGTTATAAAACAGGAATTACTATAGGATTTCAATAAAACAAATGTTGTCTTAAAGAAAGAAAAAAGAAGGAAAGAAAAGGGGTACAGAAAATAAATAAAAAAGGAGGGAGGCAGAGAGGAAAGGAGGAAGCAATCCGAAGGGAGGAGTCAAGCGAGCGAAGGAGCAGCTGGAGTCCCACACTTCGCCCTCTCTCTTCTCCTCGAAAAAGCGCACTAAATGTAATAACAACTCTCCATGCGCTTCTCTGACGCTTATGTTGTTTTTACGCACATCTGTGGTCTGCTATCAGCAGATATTATCGGAAGGCTGATGGTGTTAGTCGGGCGGTTTTTGCACACAGCAAACTGTGAGAAGGAGGAGAAAGAAGAGGAAAAAGTCTGGCAGCGACGCTTCGGAGTTGGAGTTGCAGCGTAAAGAAAAGTCCCAGGCAACTCCAAAGGCACATCTGCAAGTTAGCGACAGAACAAGCCGAAGAAAGAAGACCAATCATTTTTTTCCTGTGAAGATAAAAAAAGTCAAGAATTACAAGGGGAAACCCCCCAAAAAGTAAGTAATCTCTTAACATATTACACTCATTGTTGCGCTTATTTGTCTACTTTTAAAGTTTGGGAGTTGAAGCAGGAGAGGTTTCACATTTCAAAAAGATGGAATTTCATACAAGTTAAGATGTAGACATGAAGTGGATTAACTGACAAAAGTGGTAAGAAACACCAGCTTTTAAAAAACAACAGCTATAAAAGCTTCGACCCCCAGAAAAAGCAGAACATACTTGTTTTACACTTGGCCTGGGTGTGTGATTTATGCTCTGTGAAATAAGTGTTGGTTGTTGGAAAGCCCCGATGGTATAGTATCCGACGGACAGATGTGCTTTTTTAAAACAAGCCTAAAGTTGCATAAAGTTTGTTGGAAATAGGAAACTTGTTTCTTTTGGGTATCTTTGATGTGTTAAACAGAAAAAACACGTGTAATTCTGACGGGAGTTTTGAAGTGAATTTATGCAGACATGAAACTTTATTGGACTTTTGCCTAAAGAAACGCGCGTGGGGGGAGGGGGAAGGAGGCATGCATATGTATGTGCATGTGTGATCATATTTCAGTGTCTGTTATTGATTCGGGTTATCCTCTTAGAGTGTGCTGACTTATTGGAACACTTACATGCACATGCTCACAGATACTATTTTATTTTTAAAATCCAACCAAGCCTCGACCTGACCTTTTACTTTTAGACATATTTAATTGTATAACAATTGTACAACCCCAAATATTTCTTCATCACTGGTTTACATAGTATTTTTAGAATGTAATTAGTCAGTGTAGGCCTTTTTTTTTTTTTAAACAGGGAATATTTGCTCAAAAAATAAAGATATATTTTATAAGGAAAAACTGCAGCCAAATAATTTATATGAAGACCATCTGTGCAATTAAATCTTGCCATTTGATTTGAATGAGGAAGTTTTGGTATTATCATGTTATTCCTTCATCTTCAAAAAAGAAAAAAACGTGTAAAGGATACATCATAGCGTGTTTGAAGGCATGTACATGTGCTCAGAGAAATGTAAGCCCATTACAGTGGGGGTCTGTGGCCCTGCAGGGGTCCATGAGGGGAGTTTTATGGGGCCCCAAGCAACATTTGAAATGGTGCAAAGTGACTGTTAAGGTTTAAAATTCACTGGATTTATCACAATTAAACATTTATAAGAGGGGCTATTACAATAACAGGTGTGTCCATGTTATCATTACAGCAAAAATACACACAAAAACATATTTAAAAAAAAGTATCATGAAAACATTTGAGAGCCCCCAACCCTCCACATGTGCGGATATTTGTTTGAAACTGTCCCTCCTGTGCTCACCAGCTGTTCCACATTTTATCTGCTTGTCTGCTCTCGGGTTTCACACAGACGATGAGGGTCCGAGGTGCTCAGCCATGCGGTGCTGCTCAAATCCTCCTTTTTTTGACACTTGGCAAATTATTAACGGAGGTCTGGCTGCCTTGAGACGGAGCAGTGAGTGAACACACCAAATAAGATGTTTAACAGCACAAGTTCACACAGATAAAAATCTCCATTTAGTTATTTTTATGAGGTTGCTCCATCATTCATCCTTACTGTGGATTTTGGCATTGAGCAAGCTTTTTTGCAGGTCTTGTTTCCATTTGTCTTATAAAATAAAAATGGGACTGTCACATAAACTGTCATTCAATATGTCCCCTATTTTTATTTATAATAACAAAATAACAAGGCAGTTTATTAGGGAATATATCACTGTCATGTCAATGATTCAGCTCAGTTAAAATGGAAAAGAATAAGGAGACGGACCAGGCCTCGCACAGATTTAAGGCTTAATATTTTTATTTTCAAATGACATCATGAGAATCATTTCAAAGTAATTTCCTTTATTGTGATTTAACAATCATGGCTTTACAATTACCCCCTATTGTTTTTATTTGATTTTTGTGGCCTCTTAACAATTTTTTCATCAAAGTGATGCTTTAATATACAATATAATTGCTTATATAAATAATATTTGAGGCCAAGATTGGGATGGCATTTGATTATAATTTTATAAAAGATATATAGGATATGATTTATTTTCTATGAGCCTTAAATTAAATTAGATTAATTAAAATTGAGTGATGACAGGTAAATCTGAGACATTTTTGTATTTAATTTCCTGCACTGTTATAAAAAACATTGAACATAACTGTTTAATTTCTGTTCTCACAGTCAGTTATGTCAGTATTCTTTGTAAAGGATGTGATATATATTAATCATTTAAAAGCCACAAAACACAATTCAATAATTAATATGTATAAATAACATATTAGAAAACTTAAAATAGTTTTTGGTACTATTACATTTGATCTAAACACACTACCAAGGGGTTAACTGATGTCAAACAGGTGCACCTTTCCCCAAAAAAGCACATTGTCTCATTGTGATGCAGCAGCAGTGATGAATGCAGCAGTGTTTAAGATGCTAATCTGCTGGAATGAGATGCACAACTCGGAGCCACTCGCTTACTGTAGCCAGCAGAGATGTATCATAGCCGCACTCTGCCACTTCAGCTCCATGCGGGAGGAACAGGCGGATAGCGTTTCCCTCTGCAGGAGTCAGTCCGTCAGATAGCAGCAGCGTGCTCTCTTATCTCAACTTTAAGCAATTCTTTAAGTAGAATTATGCATAGCGACACTGGCCCGGTACGCCGGTGACCTGGCGACCTGGCAGAATAAGGGCTGTCATGTTAATGCAGGGAGATGACATGCTATTAGCTTTTGAGGTATGGCTCTCTCCTCTTTTTAAGGGGCCTTGCATTCACAGCTAATGGCGGGTTCTGTCCTCAGGCCTTTTACACCCTGCAGGAAGAATACCTGTTATCAGGTTTTTATGCCAGAAGCCCTAATGAGCTTTGTTGTTGTGCTAATGCTGCAAACTGAAGCCCTCAAAGAGGTGGCAAATGTTTTGTTAAAACGAGGGTAATGTGTGGAAGTTGATTTTCCTTAAGATAATGAGGACTGCAGTTTATTTTAGTGTTTGCTTATTTAAAGGTTTTTCTGAAGTGTAAAAACTGACAATTATTACGTTTAAAAATACAGTGAAACCATCTGATCAGTTTGGAGCAATTCCCTTTATAATTTGATTAGCTGTTGCTTCCCTTGCAAGTAACTGGAGTAGTTGAGTAGATGGCCCCCAAAAGAAAACTCTCACTTTGATGATTTGGTACTTTGATATGTGGACATCAAATGAAACAGACACAGTGAGAAAAGGAAGAGGACAAGTCAGACAGAGGTAGTGATTGAGGGAAAAAAATGCTTTGCATGAGAGCGGGTGGAAATGTGTGTGTGTGTGTGTGTGTTTGCTGGTGTGGTTTGCGAGGCGCGGAGCAGTGCTATGAAAAGTTGGACTGAGATGGCAAACCTGAGACGCGTCAAAACGTCTGGATGCATTTGCGTGTGAGCAGAGACAAGAAGGGGTCTTCGGGCGCGCAGCGGCTTCTCCTTGGCCTCCTAATCCCCAGGCCCAGCCATCCCTTCAGGGCATGCCTCAGATCTGGCTCTCTGGCTCTCCGCGCGGACGACCCAGCTCCGCCAGCAGATTTAATATGCTATGTGTTCCTGCTCCCCCGACTCCCCTCCACCTCAACCATCATTGTCCCAGAGCGGGACCCCCACTCCCTGCTTCAAGGAGCCTGCTAAAGGCACCTTTCAAGCCGGGTGATGTCTTTGGATAAGGCCATGTGGGGAAAGTGGCTATGAAGAGGGTGTGAGATATCACACTGTAATTTTAGATATGTATATGAAACACACACACACACACACACACACACACTCACACACACACACACACACACACACACACACACACACACACACACACACACACACACACACACACACACACACACACACACACACACACACACACACACACACACACACACAGGAATCTTAATACACTTGAGGATTTCGCAAACAGCATATTGACACAACATTAATACACCTCATGGCACTCCAACTGCATGCATGTACATGCTGCTCATTCAAACTGTCTTCTTCTCCCCCTTATACACAAACACACTGAACATGTTTAGCTTCTATTTTGTCTTTCTTTCTTTTCCCCTCTCTTGTGGGTGCTTTCACTTTTTTTAATGTGTCTAAAGGGAGGAAAAACGAGTGGGAGCTCAAGCTGCCTTAGCAGGGGCTGAGAGAGTATTTTGTTTTCCGTTGCTCTGGTCTGTTGGAAAAACGAACTGGACCTGACAGTTAGTCTGGTCAACTATACCCTCCCAAAGTAAGGCAAAAAAAAAAAAAGTGAAAACAGCACATTTGAATTGAGGGATTTGAATTTACGATCGATCAAATTGTACTTGACAGCTTAACATAAGCCCAGGTGAAGGTCATGGTACATTTTATTGTTTTGGGTGCGAGAATGCAGAGTGTGCCAGTTAACGGCTGCGTTTTCTTTTCTCACACACTTGAGGAGAAACAGGACAGCTCACGCCTGCATGTGGGCGCCGCTCATCTCCTCCTCTGTTTGCTGTAGCCGCCGTAAAACTGTCTTTAAGTCTGCAGTGTGAAGTGTAGCAGCAAGAGGTGAAGTGCTTTGGGGCCCATTTGTTTGCGGGCTGCGTGTAAAGTTGAACGCCTAAAGACACAGTTTCCCGGGGCCGGCGGTGCTGTTATTGCAGATGTGGCATTGTGTCAGCTTTGATGGGAGCCGGTTGTGGCATCCGTGAGGGGGTCTGTGCTTTCTGGGCCGGGGTGTTGATGGGGGGACAGATGAACTGGTCGCTTGCTGTGAACAATGATCTGTCACTTACCCCTGGCTCTTGATGTGTGAAGCCATGAGTCAGGCTCTACTCACACACTTTTTTTCCCCTCAACATTATTTGAACTAAGCAAAAAAAATAAAAAGTTATTTAGTTAACTGAGTAACTCCTGTCCTTACACCATTAATTAAGTTATGCATTGTCATGCTATAATGCTCACAATGTGCACCCCGTGTGTTTGCAATCCCATGCTGCTCGTAGTTGTCTTTCAGTGGGAG